AAATTTTAAAACTAACCTCCCTAAATTAAAATTTAAAAAACAGTCCATATAGACCTACAGGCCATAAACGGTCTTGTACCGACAATAGGCAAAATAACCCTCCCCCTGACAATAGGTAAATTAACCAAAAAGGAGAATTTACATGTGGTGGAAGCACCTCTACCATTTGGAATTCTCGGTATAGATACCCTCCGAAAATTTAAACTAACAGTAGATTTTAACCAAGGCACTATGTTCCAACTTGACGCTCCATTGTCTACCACTACCTACCACTTTAATCATGTACCCAATGAATGCACGTATTGGGAGTGCCAAGCGGTGTCACAAAGGACTCACAATGAACACAAACCTTCCGCACATGGCACCCAATGCGCGCATCCATTGGTCAAAACCCAATTGCCAACATGCCAATCTAGTCACGCGCACGCACAACACAATTTTTTCACTAAGGCGAATTGCCTTTATTATATGCCCTCGATGCACAAGGCCACAACGGCCCCAACTCACAACAACAATGCGCAAAATGTGTCCCTCCAACAGGACAACTCTCACACTAAGCACACACGTGACCACACGTCGTCACACAACAGTCACACGCGCAAACATCGCAACAAGCGCGACACTCACACTAAAACACAACAAAATCCTACCCCATACACATACTACGACACCAAGTTCTCACTATCCACCTCACTTCACCACACTTTTACAAATATACCACCACATATTTACACAAAACAAATTCGGTATACCATGCTTAAAAATCCCACAAGTAAGAATACCCATGAACTCCAACAAAATCATCACCATATGTCCATATCGTGTTCCGATATGCGACCAACAGGAAATTCGCAGTCAGGTCCAACAAATGCTGGAAAATGGCATTATAGAGCAGTCGTTTTCACCTTTCTCTAGCCCAGTCACTCTCGTCACCAAGCGCGACAAGACCAAAAGGTTTTGCATTTACTATAGAAAGGTGAACAAACTTATCAGCTCTGATGTCCATCCACTCCCAAGGATCGAGGATATACTCGACCGTCTCGCACGGGCCAAGTATTTCTCCACGGCCGACATATCCTCCGCGTATTGGCAAGTCCCAATACACCCCGATTCTCGACCACTGTTGGCATTTGCCACGCTCGAAGGGTTATATCAGCCCACTCGATTGCCTTTCGGGTTGAAAACCAGCCCTCAGATCTACGAAAGAGCCGTGAGTCAAATCCTACAGAGGCTTGGACTTGACTGTGTGGCACATTATTTTGATGACTTCATCATTTTATCCAACACACTGGAGGAACATCAAAACCATCTGCGACAATTTTTCGCCTTTTGCGAGGTAGAAAAGTTACAACTTAACTTCGCAAAATTCCTAGGATACACCATCACTGCTGGTACTACCACACCACTCACACGCAACACAGACATCATCCACCCTATCCAACAACCACACAACCGCAAAGCATTACAATCCTTTTTAGGCGCTGTGAACGTTTATAACAAATTCATTCCGGACTACGCCCGCTTGCGGACGCCACTTAACAACCTTCTCAAAAAGGATGTCATGTGGGTCTGGGATGAAAAATGCCAAAAAGCGTTCACTAGCCTGAAAGAAAGCCTCACAACACACCCCATTTTACACCTTTACAAAGAAGGTCTGCCATGCCAGGTGTACTGTGACGCCTCCACCCTCGGTATAGCAGGCATCCTCGAACAGGTCCACCCTGATGGGAAAATCTACCCAGTCCAGTATTTCAGCCGCTCCCTGCGTTCACACGAACGGAACTATTCCATCTCTGAACTAGAATGCTTAGCAATCGTTGAGAGTGTGGATAAGTTCCGCGTCTATTTGATTGGCAGAAAATTCAGCATATTTTCTGACCATCACGCGTTGCAGTGGCTGAAAACGATCAAAAACCCGTCAGGCAGATTATTTCGATGGAGTTTATGGCTGTCGAGTTACGAGTATGAGGTTTGCTACATTAAGGGAACACAGCAATATGAGGCGGACCTCCTATCCCATAACCCGTTTTTTTATTAGTTTTTTGAATAAATGGCTATTATGTAAAATATCTCTCTATATATAAAAATGAATGTTTGTATGTCTGTCTGTATGTCCAGTAAACAATCATGGATAGTCTGATTCTCAAGAACTATGAATACTACAACCAAATCATTTTTCAAAGTGCTGAATCAGGATACGAAAGGTATGTTCATTGTTTTGTATTGCCAGCTTCAATGGCCGAAGTCACATTACCCTGATGCATCAGCAAGTCTAGATCATAAGGAAGCTCCACATTCTTGAATAATTGAATTCTCAAGAATTATGGGTATTACAATCAATCTGATCTTTTATTGAATAGCGAATTCTAGATAAACAAACATAGCCCATATTTTCAGTACAATGATTCTTTTGGATTCCTACTTCTTCAAGATTTAATGAGAGAATCACTCTTCTAAAGACGTATATCAAAATGATACCTCTATTTCTTAACTAGGAATGTTTGCAAGTGTACGCGTTTATCGAATAGTAATAGTTATAATAGTGCTTTTTTAAAAACAAAAGGCATATCCTGACCGCTCACATGAGATGCTTCTTTGCGATTGCTGAATATTATATCCAATTTATACGATAGCAATCCCCCCCTATTCATTAATAGAAGATAAATCAAAATATGGGGAGTAGAGTTTATTTTGATTTTTAAAATATTGTGCTAAAACTCTAATAATGTTTAGAACTGGAAGTCATAGAGAGAACAGGATAATTTTTTAGTATCGTTGTATAAGAATATGTAGGGGCCAAGGGACTTCCTTCCAGCCTGCTGGGATGACGGACCATGCCGTCAGCAAACATACAAGCGGGGGCCATGAAATAGGAGATGACCACCGCTGTGCGGCGCGGCAGATCAGCGGAAGTCAATGAGAACCAGAATAGACATTCTAGGGTGTTGTCCTTCTGTCTTCCTCTGAAAATGTAGCTAATAAGTAATACCAATAAAACATTAACTTTGAAATACTTTCTGGGCCATCGCTGGACTAATAAATCGACACACAACAAATACATTATTAACAAACATAATATAGAAACATTATCATTATATTTTCTTATTTCCAAAATAAGCATGTCAGTCTGATATTTGTCCATTTTCAAATTCTAGGCTCTAATTTCCTCCTAATTTAGCCATCATTTTTACATCACAAAATAGTATTTATTTGTTTAATTTATATAGGCTTTAAAATAGCCTAATATTTTAATTTACAACTTAATCTATACACTTACTCTTGTCAACTTTATAAATTATTTAATTATAAGTTTTAATGGAAAACAGTGAAGTTGGGGACCCTTTAAAACTTTCCTATTTATATATGCTATTCGAGAGTAAATATATTAATGCATATATTTATATTCATTACTAGCGGACGTACCCGGCTTCGCCCGGGTTTTACCCGAGTAAAAGTTTGTCTAACGAATCTCTCGATAAAGTGAACATTTTTTTCCCGGTCCCTTGAAAAATACTCGATAAGTTGAATAAAATCAATATCAATTGGTTCCCTCGGTAATTGGAAGTAAAAGGAATAGTATCTTGCCTTGGAATTGTATCATTATTCTTGTATGGATGTACCCGGCTTCGCCCGGGTTTTACCCGAGTAAAGGTTTGTTTAACGAATCTCTCGATAAAGTGAACATTTTTTCCCGGTCCCTTGAAAAATACTCGATAAGTTGAATAAAATCAATATTAATTGGTTCCCTCGGTAATTGGAAGTTAAAGGAATAGTATCTTGCCTTTGAATTGTATCATTATTCTTGTCTCAAATAAATTGCCATGTCATCCTGAATTTTGTCTTTTCTAATTTTCTACATTACAAAATCATCGTATCATCATGATAATATTTAGAGCAGATTGTTGAATTATAACAGATAAATTAGAATATTTATCTTGATTATTTCTAGGCGAAAAGTTATTTCAAAAATTTTATTTGCTAGAAACCTTCCCAGTACTATACTAAATAACTTCCCAAAGTTTCATGGCGATCCAATGAGTGGTTTGGTCAGGCATAAAGGACAAACAAACAAACAGACACACATACATTCATTTTTATATATATAGATATCATCCATAATCATTTCCATATAAAAGAGTCAATTTGTTTCGTATATACTTTTTTTAAAAATTAAACTAATGAGGCTGAAATTTGAACATTATATTGTCACAGCCGAAATAGATTCATTTAAATATTTTCATTAATAATTTAACTTATTAAACAAATCAAGGTTGATTTGTTTATTCTTTGTTAACATAGGGCAGCCATGCGCGCTAGCGCCGGTTTTCTTCATTCTTTTTTTAACCTTACCTTGTTTTTCTTGCTTCTCTCTTTCTCTTTCCTGTTTTTTTTCTTTTTCTTCTGTATATATCGTTATTTCCTTTGTCTCACTGCTTTGTTCTTATGCATACCTCTGGTGAATCCTGTATAGGGTCAGTGACCCTGAATAAAGGCTTTTTGTTGTTGTTATTTGTTGTTTTAACCTTACCAAAATAAAGCGTTAGCTTTTTAATGAGAACTCGTTCTGGTTTATTCTACAGTACAATGGAAACCGTTGAACAAAAACCATCAACATCTCAAGGTGTAACAATGCAGAGTTGAGTTGGGAGAGAGAAGAGGTGCTTGTCATATTTTTATTCAAGGAAAATTAACCAAGTACTAGACTAATTTACCTATTTTTAAGTCAATAAATGATTATGATGATGAAATATTGCTGTATCATTATTGATAGTCGAAAAATATTTTAGAGATCATTCACTCGAGAAAAATACTAGCGAGCCAAGAACATCATTTATAATAAGCAAAAAAAAAAAAAAAAATCAGCAAAATATTCACTTAAACAGACGTTGTAAGCTGGTTCATTAATATATACAGTTATCAGAGTCATCAACAATCAATAATTCTGTCACCTTTTGCTTTTGTGAATGGAATAAATACCCAAATATGGCCATTTTTTATAAACATCGGTGGTTCAGTGGTAGAATGCTCGCCTGCCACGCGGGCGCCCCGGGTTCGATTCCCGGCCGATGCATTATTTTTTTTAATTTTTAAAACTCATTTATATAATTAAAATATATATTCAAGGATAAGGCACAATTTGGTTTATAGATTATAAACACAAGGTAATAAGACCAAATCCAAGGATAAGGTACAATTTGGATTATTTATTATAAACACAAGTTAATAAGACCAAATCTAAGGATAAGGTACAATTTGGATTATCTATCTATATATATAAAATTGAATGTCTGTCTGTCTGTTTGTTTGTTTGTTTGTTTGTACTCTATAGATTCAAAAACCATACATCCAATCGCCGTGAAATTTTGGGATATTATTAGGTATATCACCGGGAAGGTTTTTGAAAAATATTTTCATGAATATCTTGAATATCCTTAGAGTTACTTGCAGATTTGTAGATTTAACTCGCAAGCAGCGCCCCCATTGTGACGATGTTAACAAGTTTTCTTATCACTAAGTTTGTTATCTTAAATATTATTTATCAAAAGTAAGATTATCTCAGGATGACACGGCAATGTGACACGGGAAAAAATGTTCACTAGATAAAACTATGATTTTCTATATGATATAAAAAGCCAACAATGAAGAATGAATGTAATATAAAAAGCCAACAATGAAGAATGAATGTAAGATAAAAAGCCAACAATGAAGAGTGAATGTAATATAAAAAGCCAACAATGAGAATGAATGTAAGATAGAGAGCCAACAATCAAGAGTGAATGTAAGATAAAAAGCCAACAATGTATAGTAAATGTAATATAAAAAGCCAACAATGAAGAATGAATGTAAGATAAAAAGCCAACAATGAAGAGTAAATATAATATAAAAAGCCAACAATGAAGAGTGAATGTAAGATAAAAAGCCAACAATGAAGAGTAAATGTAATATAAAAAGCCAACAGAGTGAATGTAAGATAAAAAGCCAACAATGAAGAGTGAATGTAATATAAAAAGCCAAAAATGAAGAATGAATGTAAAATAAAAAGCCAACAATGAAGAGTGAATGTAATATAAAAAACCAACAATGAAGAATGAATGTAAGATAAAAAGCCAACAATGAAGAGTGAATGTAAGATAAAAAGCCAACAAAGAAGAGTAAATGTAATATAAAAAGCAAAAATGAAGAATGAATGTAAGATAAAAAGCCAACAAAGAAGAGTAAATATAATATAAAAAGCCAACAATGAAGAGTGAATGTAATATAAAAAGCCAACAATGAAGAGTAAATGTAATATAAAAGCCAACAATGAAGAATGAATGTAAGATAAAAAGCCAACAATGAAGAGAAAATATAATATAAAAAGCCAACAATGAAGAGTGAATGTAAGATAAAAAGCCAACAATGAAGAGTAAATGTAATATAAAAGCCAACAGAGTGAATGTAAGATAAAAAGCCAACAATGAAGAGTGAATGTAATATAAAAAGCCAACAATGAAGAATGAATGTAAGATAAAAAGCCAACAATGAAGAGTAAATCCATATATATATATATATAAAAGTCAATTTCTCTCTGTCTGTCTGTTTCGCGATAAAATCAAAAACTACTGAACCAATTGGTACCAAATTTTGCATGTCGCTTTTTATAAACCCGAGGAAAATTTTTGGCTGCATTTTGATTAGTATTTTTGGCTATTTCTTTTTTTCATTTGAAGAACTTTTTTTTACGCGGACTAATCCGGAATGGAATGAATACCTAAATATGGCCATTTTTTAAAGTATCGGTGGTTCAGTGGTAGAATGCTCGCCTGCCACGCGGGCGGCCCGGGTTCGATTCCCGGCCAATGCATTTTTTTTTTACAATTTTTAAAACTCATTTATATTATCTTATATATATAAAATTGAATGTCTGTCTGTCTGTACTCAATAGATTCAAAACCATACATCCAATCACCGTGAAATTTTGGAATATTATTAGGTATATCACCGGGAAGGTTTTTGAAATATAATTTCATGAATATCTTGAATATCCTTAGAGTTATTTGCAGATGTGTAGATTTAACTCGCAAGCAGCGCCCCCATTGTGACGATGATAACAAGTTTTCTTATCACTAAGTTTGTTATCTTAAATATTATTTATCAAAAGTAAGATTATCTCAGGATGACACGGCAATTTATTTGCGACAAGAATAATGATACAATTCCAAGGCGAAGATACTATTCCTTTAACTTCCAATTACCGAGGGAACCAATTAATATTGATTTTATTCAACTTATCGAGTATTTCTCAAGCGACCGGGTAAAAATGTTCACTAGATAAAACTATGATTTTCTAATGTATATATATATATTGCGTATGATATTGTTTTTTACAGCACAATACAACAATGTTGGCAAGTTTCTCTAGAGTGGAATGTCGAGGTGACGAATCCACTCCAGGGCCTCCTCTTATAAAAACTTATAAAAAAATAATAGATAAATTTTTATAATTTGAAACTCGTAAATTTGAATCTCTCGATAAAGTGAACCTTTTTTCCCGGTCCCTGTGTGCCGTGTCATCCTGAATTTTGTCTTTCCTAATTTTCTACATTACAAAATCATCGTTTTATCTAGTGAACATTTTTTCCCGGTTCCTTGAAAAATACTCGATAAGATGAATAAAATCAATATTAATTGGTTCCCTCGGTGATTGGAAATTAAAGGAATAGTATTTTCGCCTTGGAATTGTATCATTATTCTTGTCTCAATTAAATTGCCGTGTCATCCTGAGATAATCTTACTTTTGATAAATAATCTTTAAGATAATAAAATTAGTGATAATAAAACTTATAGATAAAAAACTTGTTATCATCGTCGCAATGGTGGCGCTGCTTGCTAGTCAAATCTGCAAATAACTCTAAGGATATTCAGGAAATTATTTTTCAAAAACCTTCCCGGGGATATACCTAATAATATCCCAAAATTTCACGGCGATTAGATGTATGGTTTTTGAATCTATAGAGTACACACAGACAGACATTCAATTTTATATATATATAGACTAGCGGATGTGCCCGGCTTCGCCCGGGTTTCACCCGAGTGAATGTTTGTCTAACGAACATTTGTTAAAACAATTCTCTAAATACTTATTAAAAATAAAAAAGATATATTTTGATAATTTGAAACTCGTAAATTTGAATCTCTCGATAAAGTGAACATTTTTTCCCGGTCCCTGTGTGCCTTGTCATCCTGAATTTTGTCTTTCCTAATTTTCTACATTAGAAAATCATAGTTTTATCTAGTGAACATTTTTTCCCGGTCCCTTGAGAAATACTCGATAAGTTGAATAAAATCAATATTAATTGGTTCCCTCGGTAATTGGAAGTTAAAGTAATAGTATCTTCGCCTTGGAATTGTATCATTATTCTTGTCGCAAATAAATTGCCGTGTCATCCTGAGATAATCTTACTTTTGATAAATATAATTAAGATAACAAACTTAGTGATAAGAAAACTTGTTATCATCGTCACAATGGGGGCGCTGCTTGCGAGTTAAATCTACAAATCTGCAAATAACTCTAAGGATATTCAAGATATTCATGAAATTATTTTTCAAAAACCTTCCCGGTGATATACCTAATAATATCCCAAAATTTCACGGCGATTGGATGTATGGTTTTTGAATCTATAGAGTACAGACAGACAGACATTCAATTTTATATATATATAAGATAATATAAATGAGTTTTAAGAATTGTAAAAAAAAAAAATGCATAGGCCGGGAATCGAACCCGGGCCGCCCGCGTGGCAGGCGAGCATTCTACCACTGAACCACCGATGCTTAAAAAATGGCCATATTTAGGTAATCATTCCATTCCAGATTAGTCCGCGTAAAAAAGTTCTTCAAATGAAAAAAAGAAATAGCCAAAAATACTAATCAAAATGCAGCCGAAAATTTTCCTCAGGTTTATAAAAAGCGACATGCAAAATTTGGTACCAATTGGTTCAGTAGTTTTTGAGTTTATCGCGAAACAGACAGATAGACAGACAGAAATTGACTTATATATATATTATATATATAGAGAGATTTACTCTTCATTGTTGGCTTTTTATCTTACATTCATTCTTCATTGTTGGCTTTTTATATTACATTCACTCTTTATTGTTGGCTTTTTATCTTACATTCATTCTTCATTGTTGGCTTTTTATATTACATTCACTCTTCATTGTTGGCTTTTTATCTTACATTCACTCTGTTGGCTTTTTATATTGCATTTACTCTTCATTGTTGGCTTTTTATCTTACATTCACTCTTCATTGTTGGGTTTTTATATTATATTTACTCTTCTTTGTTGGCTTTTTATCTTACATTCATTCTTCATTGTTGGCTTTTTATATTACATTTACTCTTCATTGTTGGCTTTTTATCTTTCATTCACTCTTCATTGTTGGCATTTTATCTTACATTCATTCTTCATTGTTGGCTTTTTATATTACATTCACTCTTCATTGTTGGCTTTTTATCTTACATTCACTCTGTTGGCTTTTTATATTACATTTACTCTTCATTGTTGGCTTTTTATCTTACATTCACTCTGTTGGCTTTTTATATTACATTTACTCTTCATTGTTGGCTTTTTATCTTACATTCACTCTTCATTGTTGGCTTTTTATATTATATTTACTCTTCTTTGTTGGCTTTTTATCTTACATTCATTCTTCTTTGTTGGCTTTTTATATTACATTTACTCTTCATTGTTGGCTTTTTATCTTACATTCACTCTTCATTGTTGGCTTTTTATCTTACATTCATTCTTCATTGTTGGCTTTTTATATTACATTCACTCTTCATTGTTGGCTTTGTATCTTACATTCATTCTTCATTTTTGGGCTTTTTATATTACATTCACTCTTCATTGTTGGCTTTTTATCTTACATTCATTCTTCATTGTTGGCTTTTTATATTACATTTACTCTTCATTGTTGGCTTTTTATCTTACATTCACTCTTCATTGTTGGCTTTTTATCTTACATTCATTCTTTATTGTTGACTTTTTATATTACATTCACTCTTCATTGTTGGCTTTTTATCTTACAT